GGAATTTAGCGTTGCAAGTCCGCAGACATACCGCTTTGCCACTGGGGGGCGTTATAATCTGTTTGTAGTTAAGCACAAAGCTACACAATGGGCTATCTGTGCTTTTCCCACCAGGGGTATCGAAACCCGGTTTCTAGCGTTGTAAGTCCGCAGACATACCACTTTGCCACTAGGGGGCTCTTCAGATGAAGCCGAAATAAAATAATCAGCAAATCACTACAAAATTTATACTAGAAATTTAGATATTTTATTTAATATTTCATGCTATACTATGTAATATGATTTGCATACAAGTTTTAGGAGTACAAGCAGCAGTAACATAACGTTATAACACAAACTCGGTGTAATCTGCCACACTTAAAAAACAAGAAATATTTATTTGTTTCTTCGAATTAAAAGCTGGAGGTTTAATTAAACCTAGCTTAGAAGTACTAAGTTGAACGAACTCTGTGAATACGTATGAAAACGTTGAATATTAATTTAGTCTTACATGTTAAAACGTTGAATATTAATTTAGTCTTACATATGAAAAACGTTGAATATTAATTTAATCTTCCAAGTGCTTATGCGTGATGAAATTTTTTACAACAATGGAAAGCGGTACTGGCTGAATAACAATGGGAAGCGGTACTGGCTGAATAACATTGTGAAGCAGTACTGGTTGGAGTAAGTTTACGTCAAAATATGGGGTTCGATTTTTCGTGATGGACAGAGTGAAGATAGCCATTGTGTGGCTTTGCACTAAAAAAAACAACAACAACAAATAGAAAGTAGTGATCACGTCACTTTTTTATTGAAAGACGTCCAGTAATTACTAGATATACGAATTATTATAAATATACAATTCAAGTTCTTGTAACTTTGTGTTTTAGAGACAGCACTTCTACTGACTGGTAAACTTGCTTCGATTCGAACCATGAATGAAACCAGCGACATCAGGAAGAATTTGATGCTTCAATACCCCAAAGACCCTGCAAAGGAGAACAGTAAAGAGTGTGTGTTGTTTATACTTATGATTTAACAACTTTTTCTTAAGAATATATATTAATCCGGCTAATCAATGTAGACAGTACTTTATACATGCAGTCAAATATTTCTCAAGATTATAGAATAAATTTTTGAATTGGTATGTCAGGGTTGCAATTAAGGACAGTTTGATTTAATATATTGTTATGTCTGTGTTCGTTTGTTAATTTTCCGTAGAAATTCTTTCCGAGAAACTTCAGCGATACA